TGTCTACACGACTAACACGAGTGGTAGAATTATAGGTAGCAATACTGTCTACACGACTAACACGAGTGGTAGAATTATAGGTAGCAATACTGTCTACACGACTAATACGAGTGGTAGAATTATAGGTAGCAATACTGTCTACACGACTAACACGAGTGGTAGAATTATAGGTAGCAATACTGTCTAAACGACTAACACGAGTAGTAGAATTATAGGTAGCAATACTGTCTACACGACTAACACGAGTGGTAGAATTATAGGTAGCAATACTGTCTACACGACTAACACGAGTGGTAGAATTATAGGTAGCAATACTGTCTACACGACTAACACGAGTGGTAGAATTATAGGTAGCAATAGTGTCTACACGACTAACACGAGTGGTAGAATTATAGGTAGCAATACTGTCTACACGACTAACACGAGTGGTAGAATTATAGGTAGCAATATTGTCTACACGACTAACATGAGTGGTAGAATTATAGGTAGCAATACTGTCTACACGACTAACACGAGTGGTAGAATTATAGGTAGCAATACTGTCTACACGACTAACACGAGTGGTAGAATTATAGGTAGCAATACTGTCTACACGACTAACATGAGTGGTAGAATTATAGGTAGCAATACTGTCTACACGACTAACACGAGTGGTAGAAGTACAGGTAGCAATATTGTTACACGACTAACGCGAGTGGTAGAAATATAGGTAGCAATGGTGTCTACACCACTAACACGAGTGGTAGAAGTATAGGTAGCAATGGTGTCTACACCACTAACACGAGTGGTATAAGTAGCAATATTGTCTACACCACTAAAACGAGTGGTAGAAGTATAGGTAGCAATGGTGTCTACACCACTAACACGAGTGGTATAAGTAGCAATATTGTCTACACGACTAACACGAGTGGTATAAGTAGCAATATTGTCTACACGACTAACATTTGTAGTAGAAGTATAGGTAGCAATATTGTCTACAAGAGTCGGAATACGCGCACTGTTACTACACACAAAATTCTTTATTTCATTTCAAAATTTTATTGTTCTTCTCTGTAATCGTAAAGTTGTATTTGCAATAATAAAAGTTTCAGACAAAGGTGTGCTCAATACTTCAAATAATAATACTTAAAATAAATGATACCAAAATATAATAAAACATTGAGGTTAATATATGCAACATAAATATAAACTTTGACCAGTTTGACCTTTTTTAGAAATTCTACAAAACTATCATTGGCAATTTATCTTTTCCCAGAATTAATTAGCGATTAAAATTAAATCTTAAACTAAGATTAGACATAAGTCGATACATTTCTCTTCAGAACATTGTCTAAGAAACAAACTGGGTAGTCTAGGACAAATAATTAAGATTGGTTAAAACATAAAATGATATAAATAGGCAAGAAGGAATGTTAAAATAAGGGATTGTTAAACATTGCTCATTTCTGACAGGACAATATTAAAATATCCTTGAGAAACCTGAACTAATAAGTATTTAATACAAATAATATCAACTTACAGTAACTTAAAGGGACATTCTGTTTTTGTTTAGTTGTCAAAAACGTCGTAAATTATACCTGAAAATATTTCTAAAGTATGCTATTTATCTATGTATATTCTTGATCAAAATAAATTTGTTTTAAAAGGGTTAATTGACAACGGAGAGGAGACATATTACCCTACAATAAGGCCTTTATTTTACTCAAATCTGCACAGTAGTTTTCTTTCTAACAGCTTCGAAAAGAATAACGAACTTTCAAAGTTTATGTAATGCTTTTAAACAGTTTTTGGCGCTAAAAAATTAACGGCTGATTTTTTTAAATGAATACTTTCTAATACGTAAAAGGACACAATTCTCTTGATGTTGGTGTACAGTTTTCACAATTTTAGGCAAAAAAAAAGCGGAATGTCCCTTTAAATCGATTTACTCTCAGCGAGTAGGGTGAAGCTATATTAATTAAACAAAATCTTGTAAAGCTTTTATATTCACATTTATCATTCCTAAAAGGATCTATACAAATTAAACATGTAAATTCCGTAAAATTCAAACATAAAAAATATAAATTTCACAATGCAACTTTTAGTGGCTACTCGGGCTAACTTCATAATATTTCCTTCCCTTGAATGAATTTTTATTTATTCTGGAGTTTTTACTTGACTTTGTTTCGCTGATTATTTTGTTGGACTTTTCAACATTAGCTTGTTAAATACATGTATTTCCAAAATAAAGTTTGATGCAACCCGCACAGGTATTTATTGATAAGTCAACACACACTGTATAAAAATAAGGATCTTGCTCATGGTTAATTGATGTACACATAGAGAAAAGCAAACATAAAGCATAAAAAGCAATATCATTCCATTTCGATCTGATATAAAAAATGTTTCCCAGTCATTTTTACAGACATAGGTAATTGAATTTGGGGATTTTTAGTCTATCAGAACAAGGAACTCTCGGACACAGTAATAGGAGACAGCGAGGCAATATCCTACTTTCAATATTTACACATTAAATACGATAGATTTCTTAAAATTTTGAGCTTAAATAAAAATAAATACAATCCTACTTTCAACAAGTTAAAAGATTCAAATGCACCAAAACATTCAAGTAGATAATTCTTGAAAAACAGTTAAGCAAACCGGCTTAAAATATAATAATTAGACTTAAAATTTACTTTGAATATTTTAACTTGTTGAAAGTAGGATTGTATTTATTTTGAAATTCCAGAAAGCTTAAAATTTTAAGGTTATATATAATGTATATACATTAGACATTTAAATCACAACCGAATTGCATATTAAAATAATCACTTATATATTTACACTTATAATAATTTACACAGCACTTGAATCATGTTGCTACTCAGCAATGACCAACGGTTTCTAATCCTTATCATCAACAAGATTGGTTCTTGGGCACATGCTTCCATGCAGCAATAACACTTAAAAGGTTCATATCACATAAATTTAGGGTTCAGTACAATCTGTTTGAAATGTAGATCATATGTTTCGTCTGATATTTTTTTATGTATAAGATAGCTTGCCAGGCAAGGTAATATACGCCCACTGGCAGCTTTGATTTTGAACATAAATATTTAGTAGTACAGTAACAATCACCAGTATGAAATATTCAACCTTTAGTCATACACTTCTTTTAAACTCTTTAGGGCGATACTGAATAATATTGAGTATGAGTTATTGCCCTTGTTCTTGAAAACGTGTTTTTAGCTTGTGAACACTCTAGAAGGCAAATATTCAATCTTCAGCGAGGTAATGAATAATAAAACCAAGTTTTGTAAAAATTTGGCAAGAATCATGCCTTCTAGATTTTTTATGAGCTACAAATTGAACGAGTTTTCAAGATCAAGATCAATAACTCATACTAAATATTTTTCGATTTTTCTGATTTTCAATAGGCTTTATCCTTGGGTGATAACAAACACTCAAGCCCAATTTCGTTAAAATCTGTCAAGAATTGTGCCTTCTAGAGTGTTTACAAGCTAAAAATTGAACGCTTTTTCAAGAATAAGGGCAATAAGTCATACTCAATATTTCTCGATTCTTCTGATTTTCAATAGGGTTCATCCTTGGGTGATAACCAACACTCAAGCCAAATTTCGTTAAAATCCGTCAAGAATTGTCCCTTCTAGAGTGTTTACAAGCTAAAATTTGAACACGTTTTCAAGAACAAGGGCAATAACTCATACTAAATATTTTTCAATTTTTCTGTTTTTCAATACGGTATATCCATTGGTGATAACCAACACTCATGCCAAGTTTCGTCAAAATCCGTCAAGAATTGTGTTTTCTAGAGTGTTTACGAACTAAAAATTGAACGCGTTTTCGAGAACAAGGGCAATTTCTAATACTAAATATTTTTCAATTTTTCTGATTTTCGATACGGTTTATCCTTGGGCGATTACGAACACTCATACCATGTTCCATCAAAATCCGTCATGAATTGCACCTTCTAGAGTGTTTACGAGCGTTTCAAGAACAAGGGCTTGAGGCCTCCTCATAGTGAATATTTTTCGATTCGTCTGATTTTCAATAGGGTTCATCCTTGGGTGATTACAAACAACCATACCAGTTTTCGTCGAAATCAGTCAAGAATTGTGCCTTGTAGAGTGTTTACGAGCAATTGTGGACGGATGGACGGACCGACGGAAATGGGTGACGGCAATATACGCCCCCCATTTCATGTGGCGAAAAAAATATACTTCAAGCAATTTATTATGAACACTGCCTTTTTTTGGACATTAAGTCAAAGTTGATACAATAAGACTTTCAACTACACTATTTTGCTTAATATAGTAACTTATTTAATTATTATGCAAACGTGTACACGAGGCATATCAACACATATAGCATGGGTTAGTGTTTACAACATTAACCATCTAATACTGAAAGCAAGCTTTGTTCCCGAATCGGAATAGCAAATTAGTTAATAGTACAAATTACCTCCCTTGAACCATAGTTAAATTAATATCTGTAGGTATCTTGTTACTCTTTGTCACCAAGAGCAGGTGACATTCTATACACATTTTCAAGTTTTATGTCAGTGTGCTCTGTTTGTTACCGACAATAACATATGAATTTAATCACAATAGAAGTTTGGTTTTCTTATCAGTTATAAAATGTGGCTTAATTCTTTCCAGTTAAGGTTCTTTCTGCTTTGTCCACGAGGTTAGCCTCATGTATCTTTTATTATATTAAAACACGTTTCGCGGTTTTACTATAGTAAATATGATGAAAGCACTAAGTAATTCATACACTAAAAGCCAACAATCAGGGTGGAAAACAGATGACACTAACATTTTCACATCCCAGTGTAGGCCTACAATAGTCACTTCACACACTAAGCATTAATGTGAAGTAAAATCAACGCCATTGATATACAACCTGTCCAACAGGGTGCATAACAAGATACATTTTTTGGAAAATAAATAAGCCAGTTCTATTTTTTGTGTTCTGTGCTCACCATCATAATATTCACTTTTTTATAAACATATTTTCACCAGAAACTCACTAACTAATACTAGTGTCATTAAAACTATAGAGTATGTGTTTTCTCTGTTTCTATTTATCAAATGATCAGCTGTGCCATCTACAAGAAAATAATTATATAATATTATTCAAGCTAACAAATAGAACATGATCAACTAGTAGCATATTTACAGCCGTCAATAACAATTACAGATTCTATCAGATGCTTTTATATAATGACCCACTGGCCATTTCATGCCCATTGTCATCTGAAATTATTCGGATTCACAATCAATTCTGTGAGGACAGGGGCAAGAACATTATACCACATACACTATACGAGTTGCAGAAATAAAGAAAAAATTTCACTTATTACCTGTACATGTGACTTTAGATTTAGATGACAGACAGGACACGTTTCCATTTAGAAATTCTGCTAACACCCACAGACCACTGGTAATTTTTGTATCATCACAAGGTTTTGAACTATAACTAAAATTATCTGAATAAACCTATAATAAAGCATAGACAAACTGTTTGAATCGTTGAGGGAGAAAGGGGAAAGTCATCGGATATATTTGTTAAGCTAACCCATCTTGCTAAGAATAGTTCCTTATTCATCTTTAAAATTTCATTTTTCAGTAGTTTTTACTTAAAATGAACACAAATAATCTTTCAATAAATAACTAAAATCAAGAATAAATCCAGATTTGCTCTGTAACTGTTTCCTTTTCTAAAACTTACTTTAAATTCATAAATTATACCAAATAAACAATATTAGCTATATGATTTCTATACTGTGCTATATTTTCTATAATTTACTTTTAAAAACTGTTTTATTTTTGCACTACTTACTTACTTTTAAATGCTGTGCCATATTTGTTCTATGTTTAAATACCGCTCTATATAATAGTTCAATGTTCTACAACTTACTTTTAAATACTGTTCTATATACAACTTACTATTAAATACTGTACTATATAATTGTTCTGTGTTCTACAACTTTCTTTTAGATACTGGTCTATATAATTGTTCTAAACCTAACTTTTAAATACTGTTCTATATACTTGTTCTTTGTTCTACAACTTACTTTTAGAAACTGTTCTATATAATTGTTCTATGTTCTACAACTTACTTTTAGTTGCTGTTCTACATACCACTTACTTAAAAATACTGTTTTATAATCGTTATATGTTCTACAACTTACTTAAAAATACTGTTTTATAATCTTTATATGTTCTACAACTTACTTAAAAATACTGTTTTATAATCGTTATTATGTTCTACAACTTACTTAAAAATACTGTTTTATAATCTTTATATGTTCTACAACTTACTTAAAAATACTGTTTTATAATCTTTATATGTTCTACAACTTACTTAAAAATACTGTTTTATAATCGTTATATGTTCTACAACTTACTTAAAAATACTGTTTTATAATCTTTATATGTTCTATAAGTTACTTTTAAATACTCTTCTATTTACAACTTACTTTTAGATACTTTTTATAATTGTTCTGTGTTCTACAACTTACTTTTAAATCCTGTTCTATATACCACTTACTTTAAAATACTGTTTTATAATTGTTCTATGTTCTACAACTTACTTAAAAATACTCTTCTATTTACAACTTACTTTTAGATACTTTTTATAATTGTTCTATGTTCTACAACTTACTTTTAAATCCTGTTCTATATACCACTTACTTTAAAATACTGTTTTATAATTGTTCTATGTTCTACAACTTACTTAAAAATACTCTTCTATTTACAACTTACTTTTAGATACTTTTTATAATTGTTCTATGTTCTACAACTTACTTTTAAATACTGTTCTATATACCACTTACTTTAAAATACTGTTTCATAATTGTTCTATGTTCTACAACTTACTTTTAAATACTCTTCTATTTACGACCTACTTTTAGATACTGTTCTAGTTATTGTTGTATAACTTACTTTTAAAAACTGTTCTATTACTGTTTTATTTTCTAAAGGAGGTATATCCTGTAATTTAACCGAATCTATATCTGAACAAAATCTCCAAACTGAAAATATAATAAACTGACTATAATATGTTCATAACTAATAGTCAATGTTTAGATATAAACGCCAGCATTTTCCATATTTGAACTTTAAACTTTGCAAAAAAAAGTAATCTAGAGAGGTATTACATGAGCAACAATCCTTTGGCCTTTGGCCATTTACTCCCGTTTGTCAAAAGAGTTGGATTTTGCATTGAGAAATAGCACACACTTTTTAGAAGCAAAGGCCTAATCTAAGAACTACATACCTTTATATGGGACAGCTAAATGTTTTTTGATTTTTCTTTCCGTGGAATTAGCTAGGACCACGGCTTGCTCATAAATTCCGGTATCATACGACTCCAATTCTTCAACGTGTAAGGTCATATTATGTTGACCTTGATTACGGACTTCTACTTTATCATGGAATGGTTTGTTTATTTCTGTTTCACCGTTGAGCCAGTATCCTATCACGTCCAGCTACAAAATATGCATTATATCGATTAATATCAATTATAGCAGTGTGGAGAATACACCTGCATATCCGCATATTTCTTCAGGCCTTTGTTATAAAAGGATCCGCAATTGGTACAGGTATTGTCATATTTGTTTTGAGGAATCCAAGGACAATACAACGTAATGATCAACAAATTAAATGAATTCATCAACACTGGAAATAATGAAATTGAATTCAACCGACGAGACGAATCATATAATTATAAGAATACTTATTCTACTTGTTCTGAAGAGAAATCAGAAGATAGCTTTCCAGGCAAGGTAACATACGCCCACTACCAGCTGTCAGAAATAATAACAAAATCTTAATAATGAGTTTTCAATAAATCTTAAAATCGTCAATCAGTCAAGGCAAAATCCTGAAACAGTTCATCAAATTATCATCAAATTAAAACAATGTCTCATCACTTTGCACACAAGGGCAGTAACTCTGTAACTGTTCACCCAATTATTACCAATTTCTAACTTAACCGAGATCTCATCAATAAATACATGTATACCAACTTTCATCAAGAATGGATAAGTCAAAGGCAATAACTCTGAAACCGTTCATCCGATTATTACCAATTTCCAACTTGACTGAGATCTCATCAATATATACATGCATACCAAGTTTCATCAACATCAGATAAAATCTATCGTGCCTACAAGCCAAATTAGACGTGTTTCTTTCAAGGGCATTAACTCTGAAACCGTTCATCCGATTATTACCAATTTTGAACTTGACCGAGATCTCTTTAATATATACATACATACCAAGTTTCATCAAGATCATATAGAAACTGTAGCCTGCATCTCGCCTACAAGAAATGTGAACGGGCGGACCGACGGACAATAAAAAGTATCAATATATCAAATTGAACCATTAGCAGCTTATAAAAGTAGTCCGGTAAAGTACATTCAATTAATAGAGAGGCCCCTTACCTGAGACGCGTGTGGTTTTTTATAGTACCAAATAACAGAGTCGTATTTGGCGTTACCAATTCCTGGTAGTATGAAATCAAAATTAGACCCATTGTATATCACAGTGTTATATTTGTAAACTGATTCACATTTCATACACTCAAACAAATAATCTGAAATTAGAACAGAATCATCAAATTAATATTCATGAGGATCAGAAAATAGGAATACACAGTACTGGCACTACTTTTTTCCGATATTTTTCTTTAAATGAAGATGCATCTAATTGTATTTCTTTTACCAAAAAAACCATCAACGATCCCTCGGCAAATAATGGTAGCTCATGTTATATGATCACTTTGGTTTGCAACTCAGATAGGAGTATGAGAAGTTTTTATCTATGTTTTTTGCATAGTTAGGTTTGTTTTGTGTTCATACTCTTAGTTTAGATTTAAGACTTGTCATCACTAATATAACTCGTTGAAAATCAAGACGTCATCTTGTCCATAACCCACATCATATAGTAAAGAAATCAGAAATATGTGTAAGAGTCAGAGGAAATTTTTAAAACTGTTCATAATTTCATTTCACTTTCAAAACGATTTTCAGTTATTATTTCTAAATTATTTTTACTAGTATGATCGATATTATTATTATCATTATAATCATTTTCAATCAATTATTGAAGAAGCCTCACTTTTTCCATAGATGTTTTTGAAATAATTGTACATACGTTTGAGTTTACATATATTTATTTACTTTTCTTAAAAGTTATATTAACTTTGAAATTTGTCATGGAGAGGGGTTATATAGGCATAAGCCTGTTCCCCAGTCCATTTAATGTATTAATAAAATATTGTTTTTTAAAAAAAAAACATGTGGACTGGTTAAAGCAAACTGACATATCGAGGAACATATATAATTTCTGTCTGGAAGGACACATATAACTATGGTTGGAATATAGCACAATGTTGCAATGACATACATTTACAGTGAAATTCTAAGAATTTTCTGATGCACTAAAGCCTAAATGATGCTGCATAAATGAATAGGGTCATTGAGAAAAATAAAGTCAAATGCAACTTATGTGAGGTAACAGCTGAAATTGATTGTTATTTATTGTTTTATTAGGTTAGATTTATTGAGACATTTTAAAGTATTTGTATTGTGTTATCTGCATGTTGAGCAATATTTTAACCAATACTATACTAGACTCATGATCTGGTTCAAGAAACTATTGTAGTTAAGCTATAATGAAATATAGATTTTTGACAGGGCTATGGCCATGGTCTAAAGCGTAGTCATTGGCTTAATGCTAAAAAATAAGATTATAGTCATCTATGCAAAATCTCCAGCCAAGTCGCAGATCAGCATCAGGTGATATGAAGAGCTGACCAGGACCCCACTTCACTACCCACACCTTCCACGTTCCAACCGTATTGGACTTGAAGGTATTGTATAATATTTGACCTAAATATATTGAAAAACACCATATGTTGGTAGAAATCTTGTTGTAAGTATGTAGCAATCAATATTTTATGGTCTGTACATGTCGGAAAATTAAACACCGTGAAATCGTTGATATGTTTTTCATATACGTAGACTGTTGACGCTTTTGTTATTGCACAACGCTTAACGCTTGTTATGGCTGGTCTAATAGCCCCGTCACACCGGACTCAATCTAGAGACTAGAGACTAGAGAAAAAGTACCTAAAAGTTGCAAACTTAAAAACAGTCGGCCTCATACCGTGGATTATGCGGCCATATTACACTCTATCGTTTTTGCAAAGTTTTTTAACACGTATGTCAGATCGCCAAACCTCAGCCAATTTTCCGTCGCAGTAGCAGCGCAGTAAGAACGCCTTTCCGATGTAACGGGGCCTTAATAACTTATGCCGCGGATATCTGGCTTTACATACTTTAAAAACTCTCACGATTAGTTCTTCCCATGTCTCCCTATTTCATAATGTTGGTTTCATGTACGTAATTTTATTTTGACAGTCTTTAATCTTTATTAAATGAAGAATATTTATGAATAATAGTTGCACCATATACATATCACCTGTGTGGATTTCCCCGAATTTACAAACCTCAGCCGCTAAATGACAAACTGCGTAACTGAAATCAACATGTTGATTTTGAAATTCATGATTTCGCAATGCAGTGTTATTGATTAATGAATCAATATTTCAGTCACGTCATTGTGTAATGCTGGTCTTTAGTCTGGCAAACAATGTGCACCAGAAAATGATTTCAACCATAGGTCATATACTTCTTGCAAATTAAATTGAACTGTTCCCGTTTGTTTTTAGGGTCATCCCTTGATATGCAAACAAAACTGTTTTTGGCCAATAACCTATATGTACGCTAGATCAAACACGTATCACTTGACATAGCGTCTATTGATATTCATCTCAAGTAAATTTTATTCAAGGACATGCTTTCATAGTAATAGTAATGTACTATTATGGTATGGCCACTTTTACAAAAGTTTGTCATAATTACCAAATGCACAAGTGCAAGATCTTATAAGATTAGGAACGGTATTAAATTAATGGTCAATGTCCAATCTGTGCGGCCTCTTTATTTTCTAATAACATGTACTTAATGATCAAATCCATTTTTACTATCAATTATCGTAAGTGTCTCGCCATCAAAGAAGATTCATTGATTTATTCATTAGTTCCGGGGTCAATTCTTCAGGTGTTACCAGATGTTCTCAATCTAACTGTCTACAGGAAGCATGAACATATGGCCATAAACTTTCATTAGATTCAAAGTGCCTACTAACGATACTTTGATTCTGGGCGATCAGAATATGCAGTGGTTGTGACCGATATAAGTCGTATTAGAAGAAAATTACTACAGAACCTAAAATTTAATTTTACCTACAGATTGACTTTCTATGATCAACGATATTATAATATTTCCTATAACCTATAAATTGGCGTACACAGTCAATTTACTTCAACCCGATTCATTAGTAATATTGGTCTCCTACAAGTCTAGATAGCGTGTTATACAACTACTATTATGATGTAGAGAGGATTTTCGGGGTATGAGCCATTATGCAAAACCATCAAAAATACTTTACCTTGAACTTTGTGATTCAGTCGGGAATAGATAATGTGAATGGGGCAAATGTCATTGTGACATGCAGTAGACCAATAGAACAGTGAATCCTGACCATGCGACTATCTTTATTAAGCAACCACTTAAAGTCCCCTTAACTTTTTAATAGAAAGAACGACTGATAAATGAAATGCGATGAATGGAGTTTTACATCCTACTTTTCAACGACCGATAAGCGACCACCTTCATTGTAACTGTAAGTTTTATCCTCTTTGTCGTAACTAGGTAATAGGTAAGCATATTATGATGTTCAAATCCGATGTGAGTTTAACATATAACAGTATTTATTAGGATTTGTGTTTCATCTCCATTGAAAAATAGCTTTTACAACAAGGTAACATAAGATTTGAACGACATTTAGAAGTGGAGAAAGATATAACAAAAACACAAGGGGTATATTATGGTATAACTCACTTCTTTAATAACAAAGCACATAACGTTTCAACACAATTTACACGTGCCGTCATCTGATGATGACTTTTTTTGTTATAACAAGGTAACATACCTATCAAAACTCTTTCCTCTGATAAACATTATATCTTGAAATATGGATATATACGTTGTTCAAAATCGAACATTGTCTTCAAGCATACACATACCAAATTTGAAACGAAATTCTCATTATGCATAATTCTTTTCATTGTTTCAGTTCCATGTCTGATTTATCAAGACTCTAATAAAAGAAATCAAATGCAATGGACTCAATGTTTTGTTTGGGTCTGTGGTAAGAATTCTGAGCTTTTTATAATGGTAAATTGAAAACAGAGAGTATATATATATAATTCTAAGATGGACACTTTCTTTTGCCTTATATTGGGCAGGAAACCATTTGATTTTCCAGTACTTCACCCTCTACAACATGTCGAAATCTCAAGAAAAGACTTGTCAATGGCACATTCAAACTTAAATAATTATGGATACACAAAGATTTGAAGGCTCAAATTTCAACGATAACCTCAGAACCCCATTAATGATTAGCTGTGCTAACGGGGCCTTGATTTTTCTTTCACTGAGAATGACTATCCAACCCTTAATTATATTAGCCATCGTGTCCACACCAGGCCCCGGTGGGTTCGTTTTGCCGCATTGCCCAACTTGCCGCATCGTGCCCAACTGCACAAAAACGAATGGCCATATTTTGTTTCACATGAAACGAAATGTTTTAATCTGTATTTTGTATTACGGTTCTGATCGTTTGTACTTGGTATTTATTTTATTCCAGATTTTACCATAAAACTATAGTTTCGATTTCTCTAACAGGTCCAAATTATAAATAAAAGGAAAATCGATGCGGGACAACAGATTAAAATAACAGAGAGAGATGTATTCCTTTTGAACACAACCTTTCATTACACATTGTGCAGTTGGGCACGATGCGGCAAGTTGGGCAATGTGGCAAAACGAATCCCACCCCCATTCGTCATACTAAACATGTCAAAGCCCGTATTCGATATACAATGTTAGCCTACGTACAGGTGGTTACCGAGCATTTCACGTCAATGATACCTTTGTAACCAGAAAAAAACGTATTCTAAACTGCATTGAATCTAATTGTCAATAATCTTATTTCCTCTTAAATTTTCTTTTATCGTTATCTTTAGGGATGTCATAAGGTTATTGTCAAAATGAATATAAAATCATTAACTTGTTCATTCATATACAAAACATGTTCCTTGAGAATTACCGCAAATAACCTGTTTTGTAATTAAATATTTTATCTAAGCACAAGTTTGTTTGTCTGAACAATTTGCATTGCCTAACTTAAAGAGATACGGGTTTCGGCTAATATATTACAACGGTCAAAAATGTAAGTGGCTAAACCTCGCGATGAACCGGAATGGTGTAAAACAATGTGAACAAATGTACTCTTAAAGCTTTGTTATTAGCGAATAGAACAGTATTCCATGAAACAATCTGTCTTCTGTGGCACAAACGGTTTTCCATAGAGAACAAAGAGTGACCTAATCTTAAAATCAATTTACTTCCTTGCATTTATTTTTGTGATATCGTTTAGGGATCTTCTGACGTGTGAGTCATCTCCGTAATTCTCCAGAAATACGAACAATGACTAGATTTGTTTTCAAACGTTATTTTTATAACCACGATCATATGGAGAAAGCAGTATTTCACTGTAAGTTACTATCAGAACGCTATATTTCAGTGAAAGTTACTATCGGTACAAGTATAAGGTGCTGAACAGGAGATAGATAAATGCAACTGTAAGTTACTATCAGGGGAACGCTAAATTTAAATGTGTGGTCTGAGCAGAAGAACGCTTAATGCCACCGAAGAAGAATGCGATGTGTACTATGAAAAAGAAGTTTAAAGGGACAAGAAATGACGCACCTGTCCCTTTCACGGATAAGAATATCCCTCAAAGATAAAAGTGTAGAAAACTGTGACATTCGCCTATTTCATTCCATTTTAATTTAAATCAGAAGGACGTGAAAATCTTAATTTATTTAGCATGTTCAACAAGAAAGTGTGAGATTATTCACGGTGGTGATTAACCATATAGATGTAAACTATCAATCAATATGACCAGTTATCGACCAGCCTCAGGCGTTCATTACATTCATTTGGTTTTAGTCAGATAAAAACCTCTTGCATAATCAATAATCATTAACAATAATTATTACTACCAGCCGACATCATCAATGCAGGGCGGTTATAAAAGGAAAAAAATGCTCCAGTATGTTCGTGAACGATCCCTTGACAGTTTGAAATCGAAAATGAGTAGGTTAAAAGCACAGCTTGATAGGTTCCTCATTTCACAACGTATGAATTATCCAAAATAAAGTTCTCACCACTCTATTCCATTTCTTTGTTTTAAACCATGAGTTCGAATTCTGGGGTTGATTTGTAATAGCTTGGGGAAACATTAGTATACCCTGACAAATAACGACTGTTTAAAAAAGGTTTTAAAAGTTGTGTTTAAACAACACGATATGGGTAAATGCTAGGGGATAGAGAGGAATATGCAAACAGTAACACTATTGAAATGATCATAGTGCCACGTTCATGCATTTAGTTAACTTTTTGTGTTGTCCACTAAATAACAATCCTAAACTAAACTTAGTCTTATGTTTTACATCCCTCGTCTGCTATTATATGAAATACCCATAAGTAGTTGAAATAATATTAAGAGCATCATATCAAGGACACAATTGGCCCTATTTTCTTTCTAATAGTGGGGTGGGATCTTTAATAAAACATTCAACTCATGCCTGTTTAATCAATAAATGAGTCGGACTACAGATTGCCAATATAATTCGCCATTCCATAGTTACAATTATTCTTAAAACCTGGTGCCACGCCCAACATAATCACTTGCATTCCATTATTAATGACGTCACACATAGAATATCGATTTAGTATTGTGTGATATTATTTGTATTTTAAACAAAACTACTTGTGTCGTACGTCATCAGTTTATGAGATAACAGTAATAGAACACTATTTATCATCATTATTTCTACATAAAATGATCCGATGAAATGAAATGGCTCATCATGATTATACTAGGCAATTACTAGACAATATTGTACAAAGTAGAACTCATCTTATTGCAACGTATAGAACTGTCATATCGACCTATTCTATTATGTTACATAGAAAACTGCATACTGCAGTTAACTTTTTGTTTCTGCAGAGGTATCAGCTTACAAATTACAGAAAACGATTTGACTTTTTTAGGGTTGTTTTCTACCTACATTTTCTTTCTGGTGACTAACTTGTTATTTTGATAGGTATATCTCATTTTTTCATTTTTAATAAAAAGTTTTGATATATGTATCTCAGTTTCTCTTTGTGATTTGAATAATGGTTTTGATTATTAATGTATGTCCTCTCCTTGTAATTTGAATAATAGTTTTGTTGGGTTATCAGTGTGCTAATGCTAGTGGTATCTATAATTTTATTTATGTAAAAGATGTTTCGGTAATATGAGGTTTCTATATTTGATATGAAAAATGTGAATGAGTTATACACAAGTCATAATATCATACATCGGGGAATACAAAAAAAAGATTCACGAAAGTGCCTGCATAGATATAGCAATAATGAACGAACATCCTCTCGTTTCTACGAATTTCTTTAACGAAATTTTGCAATAAGCTTAGACTATACTTATTCGACACCATTTTTAGTTTAAACTAATACTGATCACCTTGAGCCATGTCCATGACACCTGATATTGATTATAGGCTATGTAATTACAAATAAGAACCAAGTTCTGCTAATCAAGTTAATTCTTTTTTCACAAGAGTGCTTCATACCCTGACATTTCGGGTGCTTATGTTCATGTCCAACGTTTTCATTCATTAGCAAATATATTTTTATGGTTCTTGGCATTCAACCCCCAGCACATAAAATAACAAGATAGCGAACAGTTTCAGGTATCTGAATGTTTAAATAACCTTTCAGATATTTTGTTATCACATCATGTAGTTTTTTTTATTAAAATATCAAATCTAGTGCAGAACTAATCTTGGTTTTACAAATGTTTATTTATAATTACACCATAATCTTACATATACCTTTATTTAAAAAAACCCTAGCAGTTTGCTGCCCTAAAAATATACATACATGTACATTCTCATTAAGTATATGTCGTAAATCCACCGAAAGATATTGAACTTGAACTATAATATTGGTTTCATATTGCTCATAGATTATTGATTTTATTACACAATTATATTCCCCATTACCATATTACATTCGATTGCACATCCAATACAAAATATCCAGTAAACCATACGATAGATCGACACCACCGATCTCTTCATGTCTGAATTAATTACCAGGACAGCCTGGTCCGTATTGTATAATATATTTGGAAGAAATCACACCTCCAAGCTCTTACTATAGACTATAAGCATTGAGATCAACCGGATCAGCTCTGCTGCTAGCGTAAGCATGTTTCAATGTTCTTGGACACCTAAGTTCACGCGACTAGGTTAAGTATACCTCTAAAAGTTCACAAAGTCAGTAGTGTAACTTCGGCATGTGAATCTGACTCCAGTTTGTATATATCCGGTATATACTAGGCACTATTGTAATTAGAGGTACTGTGAAAAGGGAAGTCATGAAAACAACTTGAACTTTAATAACTGATAAATGAACAAGGTTAAGTAATTGGTTTATATTTGAAATTATTTTAAATTATCAAGTCTGGTGAAATGATATGAAAAACGGGCGTTATGTTAAGTTGTCTAAAATATACCAGACACGTGTGTGTAATTACCATGCTATTTCTCCTGCAGAAATCTGTTAGATTTCAGACAAATTTAACACTAGTAAGTGCACAAAGTAACGTTTTGGGGAATACAAGTGCCTTTTCTTTGGGGGAGGTGGGGGTATTGACTATACATTCTTGTTCGGAAAATGATGATTGGTAATTTCAAAGTGCTGTTTGTTCCTATTTTCTATTTGGAAAATAATTGTAAGGGTTTGGAGTACCTGAAAG